TTATCCTGCTATCATCAGATTTCTTGTTTTGGGCTTGTCTCCTCAATTATTCTGCAAGACACTTATGTTTTGATACTTTTATTACTGTACTATGGATGGTTTCAAAATGGACTATATTTGTAAATTTTCAGTTTATAGTGCTACAGCAGATACTTAGTATATAAGATATCTATTTAATATGCAGGTATATGATTTCCTGATAAAATCTTACTCAATTAAAAAAATTGGGATATTGTTAGAATGTCAGTTGTTAATTCTTTTAGCTCTTTAGTACTGAATAACTTCACTGAATCATTGTATTTTATAACGATTGTTATCTTATTTGAAAAATGAATTAAAACCAAAACCTTTTGTCTATATTTTTAAGAGGCAGTTTAAGATTAGATTTACTGAGACCTTAATTGCTTTGAAAAACACTATATTATTAGTTGATAATATTTTATATTATTCCCCAATTATGTAGAGAGGAAATTGAGATGATATATTTGAGTTAAGTTTTTGTTCATATTATTTCTTTCCTCTTTGTCACCTAAGAACTGTTATTTAAACAACTTTTTTTATAAGTTAATGATCAATTTTTCAATATAAAAATATTTTTCTTTGCTTCTAGACTTGAATCAACTATATTATTGATGTCAGAGGAGCTGACCAGCCAGCAAGCCCTGGCGGTGATGGGAGCAATGGAAGCTATGGAATGCAGAAATTCACGTTTGATTAAAAAGTAGTCCTTCCTGAAATTCATGGTGTTAAGTGTAGTTGTTATTAATAAGTAGCTATGTTTTTGAGGAAAAATTACGATTTTTTTTCTATAATATAGCTGTTGGTTTTGAAGAAATAAGGAATGAACACTTAAGGTATTGTTTATTTCCTAAATAGTTTTTTAAAATAGAGATTCTAAAATGGTTTATAGCGTTTTTAATTTCATTTGCTACTGTTATTCTCAAGCAGAGCATCATAATCTAGGAAAGTGGAGATTACAGAGCAGGACCCTACTTTTTAAAAGGACATTTTCTGCAAAATAGTTAACATCTTTGTGAACTTGAATCGTTTCACACCACAGTTGTTACCTTGAAATCGTACTACCATGTATTGACTTTTTTGTTAATTTGAGATTTAAGAAGGAAGAAAGTACATGGTACAGATTATACATATGTACATGATTTTTTATCTAGTATACCTTTTAAAAAATATTTCTTCTACCCACTTTCTTCCAATTTACTGCCTCTTAGCATTGTCCATTGCCTTTAAGCATTCCTATTTGGGGGCCAGTGGATTTAAGGAAGAAAATTAAGTCATTTTTTCTAATTGTTAGTAATTCTTAGTAAAGATTTTCTTGGGGCGAGGATGTGGAATTTGATGGCTGTTCTGTGAGATTTTTTTTTTATTTAGAAAGTAAAACTGTATGCTTTCTCTCTTTTTACTGTTGATAATTAAGTATTATTTCATTCACACTTTGTTGATAGCTTTTACCTCATTCTATTTTAATTGTTACACTTCTATCGCCATCTTGAGGCAGTTTTTCAAGAACAGAAAACCTTATCTCATTGCTGTTTCTCCAGCACAGAGCTTGTCTGGCATGAAAGAGCTCCTCAGTGAATGTTTAATAAATAAATGAATGAACTGATAATATATGTTATATCATTCTTTTTAGAATTGCTTCAATTCTGCATAAGCATTTGGATAACTATAAACCAGTTGAGTTATTGAAGATAACGCAAGCATTGATTTTTCTACATTTCCGAAGTAAAGCGCTTTTTGTGAAACTCAGAGAATTATTGCTTAGGTAAGATTAAAGTAGAAAAGTTTATTTAGTTGTTCATTTTATAATCTAATCTTTCAATTTATAATCTAGTTTTATATAATTTTGTATAGAGTTGTTGGAACTTTTGGATGAAGAATTGGACAGCTTATTATTAAAAATGTTAAGACATTTATCTGGGGCAGCCGGTTAGCTCAGTTGGTTAGAGCACAGTGCTCATAACACCAAGGTTGGCAGTTCGATCCCCACATGAGCCACTGAGCTGTGCCCTTCACAACTAGATTGAAACAACTACTTGACTTGGAGCTGATAGGTCCTGGAAAAACACAGNGATTAGAGAAGCCAAAGAATTTTACAACTGGGTCTTTAAAAATATATTTATTTTATTGAAAATATTAAAGAAATAGTCTCACTATTCTAATGGTTGAGGTAAGCTGAGATTTACATTTTTATGTCTTTTTGATAGATTGTTTCTAATTATTATTCCCAAGTATTTGTTATGTCTTTTCCATTTGCATTCTTTATTCATTATAGGTGCATTCTTGTATTTGTGTTTTTCTGATTTTTGTATTATGTAAGAACTGCCTTTTGAAAGCAGGGACCTCACCTTTATAATTTTGGTGTCTTCCATAGTTCCCAGAAGAATGATTTATGTTCCTTAAAAAGTGTTTACTGAGTGTAGAAATATTAAATGTTACTTCATGTTCAGTATTGTCTGTTGTATATTAATATTCTAGCATGAAACATTAAAAAATATGAAATTATTCATTAGTGAGAAATATTTTGCCAAGATTTTTATTAGTAAATTACAGATATACAGAGAAAGGAGTAACAAAGCAAAGTCTACTTCCAAAAATATGAGACTTTTAATATTGCATTCATGGGCTGTTGGTCTAGTGATTTCTGAGTAAATTTCACTAAAATATTTTCCTTCAAAGCAGTTATCTATAGAATGAGATATTGTACACACTCAATAAAAAACATTATTTCAATGTTTTTTGTCTAAAGGGATTCAGTTACTGGGAGATCTGAGCCACATCCTACTAGTATTTGAAAGAAAAATTTCGTGGTATAAACCCCATAATATTTTTACTGATTCCTTTTCATATCTATTCTTTTAGTCTTAGAATTGTTCATTATTTTTAAATAACATAAAAATCTTTACATCTTTTTTCCTTTTTCAGGTCCTTGTCCGTTTTGATGGTCAGCATATCTTCTTTAATATCACAACGTTTTCAAGAACAATTAGTGAAAAAAGCAGAACTTCTTTTTGACACCATAGATTCCTCCCAGGTCAACATTGCAAGAAGAATAGTACAATTTCTTAGAAATATTAAATATTGTTATTACCCGCTATTAGAAAGGTGTAATAAAGTGTTCTTAAGCCATGCGAACCACCTTGATTTGGAGTCCATCAGTAAAATACTTAGTCTGTACTACTTTCTACAGTTTCATAGTTTTGAATTTGTTTTAATGGCTAAAAAGAGGCTAACTGAAATGATTCCTCTATTTGATCACCCTGCTAGCTTTGTGAAATTGTTTGTAGCATTGGGACCCATGGCAGGACCTGAAGAAAAGAAACAGTAAGTTCAGCTAAAAATTATTTACTTGTTGAGAATATATGGATTCTTTAAGCTTGGATCTTGCAGTTCTGGAAGGCATAAAAATCAGCCCATTCAACCATGGAATGGAAAGTAATCTCATATGCGGCTGGCTGAGTCGCTCAGGAGCTCGCTCAAGAATGTAAGCTCTGAGAACGGGTTGCCGGTTTGATTCCCAGCCCGAGCTGAGCTGTCACTGAGCTGCCAATAGGTGGCAGGATGGCTCAGCTTAAAAAAAAAAAGAGTAATCTCATATGCTCTGCTCCTTGATTCTTTCTCTGATTATTCTAATTTACACCTCAGACTCTGCAATGTAGTTTGTACAGTCTACTATATTCTGAAACGGGGCCAGTAATCCTCTGGTAGTGGCCAGCACAGGAATGGATGAGGGAAAACACCATTTAAGTGTTTTTCTTCTTTTGTAGGCCATGTGACTGGCTTTAAGGTATAAGACTTCCCCACCCCCAGTATAGGGTGTGGACTATTCAGAATTATAGTAGTAGCTCACAGTGGACCATTTTTTGCTTTGTTGTCTTCACATTCATCACCAAAAGCATTTATTACGCACATGGGCATAAGTTCTCATGTCAGGTTTCAATGAATTTGATCTGTCTCCTATCCTTTAAGAATTTTTAGTATTGCCAGATATTGATGTAAAGAGAAATATTTGGGATATAAAGATGAGCAAATACTAAATACATGACTATTGATAGGAGCAAAATGATATGTACTATTAGTGGATTCGTCAAGGGGTTCAGGAGTTGCATAATTCAGGTATTTTACATCATTATTCTTAGCCAAAACTTCATGGAGGGTTTATTTAAGAGTACTTCGAATTATATATAAAGAAGTTTAAGGGTACATTTTAAGAGACTGTATCAAGATGGGAACAAGATGATGATTTTAAAAACTTTTATTGGAATCTTTCTCTTTTTTTCCTCACTAAATACTGTTTAAATCTCATATGCTAAAGGAGTATAAAAGTTTAACTTAACTGGTCTCAGCCTTTAAGGATTTTATATTTCAATTGGGAGGATAGAAATATGTAATTGAAATAATGTAAATAC